AACGTGTTGCAAATGCAAACACTTGTTCTTCCCGTGTTTCGCATTTTCGATCTTGTGTTGAGCTCCTGTTACAGAAATTCGCAGCGTAGAGAAAAACTCATATTTACGAGAGCTTTTTAAGAAGCAAAATTATAGGTTAAGTTTGACTCAAATTGCTAACATGTCAAAAATGTTTCAAGAAACGTCTGCATTTTGTATTTGGCGCCGACAAAGCTCAGTTTGAGTTTCATTTGAAGTTTGGCCTGTGGGGTAGGCAGATATCGAAACTAATTCCACCGAAAACTTTTAGTTTGGACTCCGAATACCGAATCTAATCGAAATCGACCAGGAGGTCCGGTGATGGAACTTGGATAGGAACAGACACGACTTTCTGTTAACACAGTTTGTGTATCCAAAACGGTGTTCTGCAGCCTAACACAGCTGAACACTATTCCTAGTGGTTAAACGTGTTCAAGGATGTAGCCGTGGGAGCAGAGAGATGGGTGAAGCATGTAGCACATATGGGGGGGACGCGAGAAATGTACAAGTTTTAAGTCGGAGAAGCAGAATGGAATGAGAAAGAGCACTTGAAAGACGTTGATGTAGGTTGCTGACGGCGTCTGCTGGCAGATGGCAGTACAGCCGTTTGAGTGCGTCTCTAGTTGTGTGTCCTCCACTGGAGTACGCACGTTTCAAAAATGCGCGGAATTTATTGGCCTTGACGTTGAATCATAACAATTTCTTACTGCAAAGACGTTTACATTGGAACCATGATACTGCACGGAATACAAATTATTTTGTCTCTATCCTGTAAAGTGTTCTCGTTGAAGATCTAGATCTGAAAGAGTTCTATAGCCTGTATTTTTTTTAAAGATTAGTCATTTTTAAATTTAAAATAATTATAAAGTTTGACCTGGGCTAAATGTAAAATTGGGGTAACATGAGACAGATGAGAGACGCCTTACTGTCCACGCCCCAACAACGAATTTTGTCGAAACTTATTCTGTGATTTTGATCGAAGATAAATGTGCTTACGGACTGGAATGCATAAGCTTTGCATTGTGCATTTATTTTATGGACTTTTCGCAAAGAATGTACCATTCCAAAATATTTCAGCGTTTACTAACGCGTAGAGTTGCGTCTTTGAACGACGTGTAACTCCCCGGCCCTCTTTCCAACACGTCCCATTCCTTGGTCGTCGGAGCCGCTCTGCGCGAGGTACGACGTTGTTATATTTGAAACAGAAGTGCAATGTATTAATTAGCCTTTGTTTGATCGGTCTGTCAAGAGACTAGAAAACATAGGCCAAAGAAACAGTTTATGAGACTGCACAGGTGTTGTCAGCCTTAACATTAACACGTCTGGTGCTGTTGAGTTCTACAAGGGATCGCGGCCGATCAGAGAGGCGTCTCTTTGAGGCGTTACGAGTTCCTAATCTGACGCTGTATGGAGTGGACTTGTATGTGGGAATGCCCGGTTCGAATTTGGGACAGACTTTCCTGAGTGCTCTTGCGAGACCACAACAGCCTCCTTTCAAGCCCTTATCGATTCACCATTCATGATAACTTTCACGCTACATTCCCTCTGCAGTTGAAAAGATATTATAAACTGAACGAATAAGTAATCGACCTGTCCACCGTTCATGACAATCGAAGTGGTCGATACAGACCAGGACAGCCACCGCTGATTCCTTTCAAACGCTTGTCGAGTCATCATGCCCACCTCGTTCCCGCCAGTCAGTCAGGTCACTGAAGATGGCTGTCTTCTGGGTTGTAGCGACCTGTAGTCCGGTTGAAGTTTACCGAAAGTTTCAGAGGTCCTTGATGCCTCCGTCAGCAGGACGATGATGCCAGACAACACGGCGCTGCAACCCAGAAGACAGTCTTCTTCATGATCGCCGCCGTGAGAACCTCAGATCTTGCAATCATTGTTCATCGTCACGTCTGAAGCTTTTCGACTTCCAGCCACATTACAGTTTGTTCTCTGGTCTTTTATTAAATTGCAATGTTCAGTAAACGGTGAGTGAACAGAAATTCAACATCTCCTCTTATAACGAACTGCTCTGTGTTGTAGTTTCCACAGCAACCACGGTTTCTACGTGTGGTCATCTTTACCGCGTAAAAGGGCCGAGGGGTGTTCAGTCCGTGGCCTTAGGAGGTCGTGAAACATGACCAGCTTCGCTCCCTTCTGCCGCACGTCCATGAAGTTTGTGTTATGACATAGTCTGTGCCGGATTTTCCGGTATATCTGTTCTTACAAGACGTCTTCCGCCAATAAGTTAGAACGTCAAGACGGCTTGACTGATTCCGGTCAAGGTTTAAGTGGCAGTTATTCTGATTTTGGATTAGCTCGGTTCATTTCTAAAAGGCGCCATACACTTAGGTATAACTTTTCCTTCTAATCTTCTTTTTCAGGACGTGTTACTACGCCCTCAGTACGTGTACAAGTTGTGAGTTCTATTCCAATGACCACGTATAAAATTTTTACTTTGTGGTTGACGTTTCGTCGGGATCCTGCTCTGAACATATTAATCTTTCCATCCTTTCTCTCCGCTGACCGGGGATCACTACACTTGTTGATTCAAATTCGGTTTTGTGTGAACTAACTGAAGTCTTCGTGCCGTCCTGTACGAAGCGAGAGATAGGGAAGGCGTCGAGACGGAGCACTGCTTCGTAATTAGGAGATGCCGGGTTCAGATCTTGTCCCAGAATCCAGCTATCCTGACTGAGAATTTAGCGGGTTTCGTCAGTCACTCCAGGGAGAAGCCAGTGCCTCTTCCTTCAGTTTCCTTGACCATTCACTAATTCTCTCATCACTCGACAATACAGGCTTATAATCTTGATAACTCAGAGCTAGTTAAATTAAATAATAAATAATGAAGTTGGATGATTAAACTTAGATTACTCTCCCTCTCCCCGCAGTAATATAGGCCCTGATTGATTTTGGGTTGCTTAATGCCGAAATTTACGTTGCGTCGGACACTAGAATCATGAATTAGATGCGTGTACATCTTTCCTTCATTGTGTATTTATATTTATTTAGTGTTCTGTCTGACGACAGGTCCATATGAACAGGATCCTTCCATCCTTTTCTCGGACTGGGACCTGTTCATATACGTTCTTGGCAGATGATCCAGAAGTGGTTTGCAATTGCCTTCTTCTGTGTGTGA